ATGTCATTGCTAACTATATTTGTAAACTTGTTCCCCCTAAAAGCCTGCCTCTGCTGCAAAGCAAGGGATAAGATCTTGTTTTGTTTCCTTTGATGAAGGAACAGAATACCACTTGTTGGCTCTGAAAAGAGAAGTCTTAAATTTTAACAGTGCTCAGTGAAATAACACAGGAGCAGTGCTCAGTGAAATAACACAGGAATAATGTGAAGGTGACTGAACTAGATAGATAGATAGATTGATTGATTTTGATGGTGTTGAATATTAGGGTCCAGGATGCTGTTGACCTTTAGAGGTTTTTGCATTCCAGTAATATCATAATTGGGTTCTGATTATTATTTGATTAGCTATCCATATTTTTGCAAAGCATTTATGGTAATATGAATAAAATTGGTAGAACTATTGAAACAATATTAAAAGGGTCAAGATCATATTGATGAAAGGGGAAATACTTACCTCAGTCAACAACACTTTTATCTCTGAGGTTTTTTTTCCTGGTCAAGGCAAAACAAAGCAAGGCAAGTGATGAGCCATTGTGGAGTGATAGTGCATTGCTCTGGACCACAGGTAGGGATTTTGGTAGGCCAATCTATATTATAATATCAAGATAGTTACGTAGATTTTGGTTTCAGGGACATTAAGCATCATAGTGGATGAAATATTCAAAACTTATTTATAAACAGGAGTATGAGAACAGTGTAGGTATCTGGGGAAGTAGTAGTGTTATCTCTTATATTGCCCTGGGAAAGCTTTCTCTTCCCCACATTGAACCAAGCATGATTAATTACATGGATTATCTCATTTCATTTTCTCAGTAACTTTATGTGGGATAAGTGTAATTATTATAACAGCCGTTTTGTGAATAAGGACACTGAGGCAAGAGCTACAGAGCTAGAGAATTTAGGAGGTCTTTAAATTAGATTAAAATTGGGCTCATACCAATTGGGAATATATTTGTATGTAGATAAAGATTTGGGTATGGATATGGATGTACAGACATATATGCAGTGTGCTTTTTTGTTTTAATATGTATATTTCAGAGCCGTTCATGTCAGCAGAGATAGAACTTTTTAATCATTGCATAAAATTACATATTCATATGTATCATAATTTAGTAAGACATTTTCTCTACCAGTGGACATTTAGGCAATTTCCACCTTTGGGCTATTACAAATAGTGCTGTGATGAACTCTCTTGCATGTACATCTTTGTGCACATTTGCAAATATCTCTATAAATACATGGATGTAGGATTATTAGGTCAAAGGCATTGACATTTAAAATCTTGATAGTTCTCAAATTATGCTTTTCTCCTTGCTTTTCCAAGAGTATTCTTTTTCCTATATTCTCACGAACACTAGATGTTGCAGTCTTTTTTTTTTTTTTTTTCAACCATTCCATGGGTGAATACCTGGTATTTCCTTGTACTTGCATGTGCTTAATTTTTAATGAAGCTGAGCATCTTTACATCATTTAGTGAACATTAATATTTCTTTGTTGAGTTCTAATTAATTTCCTTTTTCCTACTTATACATGCAGTTTTTTGAAGTGGTAAAGTTCTTTGTATATTATACATATTCATATTTCATCTTGATATTTAGCAATTTTTCCTCCTAATATTTGATTTTTCTTAGAATTTAATCATGGCATATTTTGTTGCCTAGGAATTTTTAGCATTGAATTTTAATCACATAGCTTATTCATTTAAGATTTCTAGGATCTATGGCTTTGTAGGAACATCCTATTTAGCTGATTAAACATTGTCCCATATCTTCTTTAGCACTTTTAAAATTTATAATTTTTTTTGTTCTTAACCAATTGAAATTTTACTTTTGTTATTGATATGAAATAGGATTTTTTTAGACAGATATTCCATTCTTTCCCTACTATTTATTGAATAGATCACCCTAACTAATTTGAATAGAAAAGTAGAGGAGCAGAACAGAATAGAATCCAAAAATAGATATACCTCAGGGCCCAAACTACATTGCCTTAAAAAATGAAGTTTTATTGTATGTTTGATATCTTATAGGGTCTGATTCCATCCTATTCTTTTCAAACAGTTTGTTATCCATGAAAAATTTGAGTGGGGTTTTGACTGCCCTGTATTCATAAATTAAATTGGGGCAAGCTAACGTTTACAGTAATTTAGGAGTATAGATGCCTTTACAATATTAAGAATTTTATCCAGGAACATAGTATGCCATTATACATATTTAGGGCTTTTTGTATTTTTCAGTTAAATTTTATAGAGAAGGGTATCCTTGCACATTTATAATTAGTAATTCCTGGGTATTTTGTGTTTCTGACCTTTTCTGTTATACTTTCTAAACTATTGTGGGTTTTTTAATATTTTTTTTGTTACTTTATGGAACTCTTACTGGTTCTAATATTGTTTATGTTCAATCTTTTGGATTCTCCAAGTAAATGATAGCTTAATCTGCACCTAATGAAGTCTGGCTTTTCTTTTTCAGTTATTTATAGGTTTTTCCTATGTACCCACATAATTTACCAGACTATGAGCAAGCTGAAGATGAAAAGTGTCTTACATTATTTCTTTTCTACAGAATGAAATGGTGATATAGTCCTCTGATTGCTAGATGCCTCAAAAATTATTTAAAACACCATTTCCCAATATGGAGTCATACAGTTACTTGTTTTATTTAGTTTCAGGATACCCCCAAATGAACTTTATAAACTAGCCCAATTGATAGCAGAGTGTTTTGGGATCCTGAAAAAAGTCAGGAAGGTGTTAATTTATTTGAAACAGTTCTCCCATACTTATATTTTACACACACACACACACACACATACACACATACACATGCATGTATATACACACACATTTATTCACTTATTCTGTGGTAGCAAAATTGAGCTATGTTCCTGCATGGATATCAATTAAATCTTTGTTCTACAGTCACATATATATTCTTGGACCTTCAGCAGATGTAGACAAGTAGCAAACATCAGTGGAATAATTTCCAGTCATATCTGCCAATAATTTGCAGGACATGTAAGTTCCAGATCCAGCTAACTTTTTTTGTGTGTTGTTAAAGTGTGCTCCCCTAGGCATGTTGCTTTCTTGTCCACTCAGCTGTGTTTTCTAAAAGATATGGATATAGATATGGATTTTTTTGTCTAAGATCTTATATTTGAAATATGTGTTCTATCTCTTCTACACTCAAATACACGAATTCTTGTTTATTCTCTAAGATTCAGCTCAAATATTTTGCCCTTCGTGAAATTCTTCCCTTTTTCAGGCAAGTAAGAAAGACTACTTGGCATATTCTTCTGTTACAACAGGTATCACATTATACTGTGTTTGTTTACATTGATTTCTGTGTCCCTACCAAGCTGTGAGCTACTTGAGACCATACCTTCTCTAAGGTCCAGCACAATGTCTGACATAGAGAAAGGTACAAACCCTATAGTTTAGAAATATGCCTTTGGATGCAGTAATGTTTATTATGGTGGGGAAATGTGGTAGAGACCAAATGAGTGGCTTGAGGCCATGAAAACATGTTGAAAGTCAGGAAGAAAAACAGTATTCATCCTGGCACAAATATTATAAATGACATGATTTTGATAAATTTATACCATACTACATCTGCTTCTTAATGTATACAACATATATTCCTGGTTTATAGGTTACCATATATAGCATACAAGAGTTGCCAGTTTTCCAATAATAAGAATGTAAAACGCACCTGGACCAGCAGGACTAGCTTTATAGGCAATAGATTTGATTTCTTTCATCTCTGTCCTTCTGTTCTGCTTTCTTTTTTTATTATAGCTTCTTATGTATATTTAAAAAAAACTTCCCCTAGATTTTAAGATTTTGAGGACATTACAGAGTTTTTTCAGGCACCGTTTAGATACTTAATATTTATTAAATCTAATAAAAAATGTCAGTTTTTATTATACATATTAATTGGACTTGATGAATTATGCATTTCTTTCTTTTAGATATTCCTCCGTGAATTAAGTAAGGGGTGGTATACCTGTTTCCAGTTACTTTTCAAATAGAACAAATTCAGCAGAAATAAGGGCAATCAGGTTTCTTACGGACACATCTGAAGACCATATTTAGTTGTAATCCTTTGAATGATTTAGGTCAGAAAGAGCTCTTGAGCAATATTTTGACAGCCATTTCATGGAAAGGCTCAATCAGAATCTAATATGGATCTACATGCAGGTTAAATAAGAGATGACAGATGAGAGCCTTATGCAGCTCAGTACAGTATATATGTGCTACCAAAGCGAGCAGCTCGGTACGGTATAGAAGTCAGTTTCAGTGATTCTGTGATTGAAATATAATTATAGTACCAACACACCATGACCCTGGGGCTTGTGTAGGTCACGGCATGAAATGGATTCAGTGTGGGTGTTTGCTTAGGTAAACAAGGTCCTTCACCATAGTTTCATCAGGAACCAGCAGAGCATTGCAGCTAATATGATATACTCTGATTCCATAAAAAGCAATGAATATTGCTATTCAAATAATATATCCTCTGGCTACTGTTGTCTCCCCGATTATTAAAAGTGGTAGAATGACATACATTTTAAAATGTAAGTTATTTTTATTCTGATTCAGTTTTCCTTAATTCTTAACGTCTTCACTGATTTTATTTTTTATTTTTTATTTTTTTATTTTTTTTAAAGATTTCATTTATGTATTTGACAGAGAGAGCCACAGCGAGAGAGGGAACACAAGCAGGGAGAGTGGGAGAGGGAGAAGCAGGCTTCCCGCCGAGCAGCGAGCCCAATGCAGGACTTGATCCCAGGACCCTGGGATCATGACCTGAGCTGGAAGCAGACGCTTAATGACTGAGCCGCCCAGGCACCCTCTTCATTGATTTTAAAGATAAAACAGTTGTTTCAAAGAAATTCATTGGTCAAAATTTTTAACTTATATAGTTTTACATACTTAGCAGGTTTTTTGTTTTAATTAGGAAAGCCATCTTTCTGGATTATCATCTTCTTGTTGACCTCCTACTACAGGTTTTCAGCACATACTCCAATGAAGACTATGACAGGAGGAACGATGAAGTGGACCCTGTGGCTGCTTCTGCCGAGTATGAACTTGAAAAGCGTGTAGAAAAGCTGGAACTTTTCCCAGTGGAACTAGAGAAAGGTATATGAGCTCCACAACATTTGTAATATCATTATATGGCTATTTTAATAACACAAAAATGACCTTTTTTTTTTTTTTTTTGTTTTAAGCCCCCCCCCCCCCCCGGAAGGGTTGGAGAAAGTGGTAATTCTATTGGAGGATTTAATTTCTTTATTAAATTTCAAAAGTAGTTGATATGAGCTCTGTATAGATGGTAGACTGAAAGACTCTTTCTTCCCTTCCACTTCCAGCTAAAAGCCATCTGCTCTAGTTGGCTGGGATGGTGACTGGGAGTAGGGAGGTGTGGGTGGGGCCTGACGTTTGGTCGGTACCCTTGCGAAGGGCTGGTGCTGGTGAGTGCAGGTGGAAGTGGGGGGTCAGGTGGTTGGGGGGGAGGTGGAAGTGGGGGGGTGGTTTTTACGTTTTTGGTGGAGGGAGAGTGGTCATGGTTGGGCTCTGAATGTAGTAGATGGGGGAGTGCTGGGCCTTTAGATTATGGATTTTGGAATGGAGACAGTGGAATCCTCTCTGAGGGGAGAGGTCTAAGAGAGAGCAGGGAGAATGGGAGCAGAGGGGCTTCCTCTTGATTTCTCCTCTTGGAATCAGCCTGCCTGCAGTGGGAAGTGAGGACCCATGGGACCAGAGACTGCCATATTTATCGTCCTGTAAGATGAGCACCCGGGAATGCACTGGGACCCAGTGAACAGGGAAATATCACATCTCAGAGAGCCTTACAAAAAAGCAGAACAAACAGATGACAACTTGAATGACAAAAAGAAGCAAATGAAAAATCAACTGAGGATATCAAGTATGGCTTTAAAAAGACACTTAGGCCAATCAACAAACAAAAAAACGTTGATTTTAAAAAATTAGAAATTTCAGTAGAGGAATTGAAGAGGAAAGGGTGGTATTGTTGAGACGCAAATTGGTGATCTAGAAGGTTAAGCATAAGAAATGAGCCGAACTAATTCTTAAGTGATAGAGTAAACATCCACAAAAAATCATGACAGAGACCCAAAATATAAATTATAGGTGACAGAAGGGGAAAAGACATAGAGGATGAGAGACATAGTAGAGAAAACATGGAAGAAATTTTCCTGAGCTCAGAAAAGACCTGAGCCTCCTATTTGGAAGGGCTTATCCAATTGATTGAGAGACGACTTGGAAAACACCCCGCACTTAGGCATAGCCTGGGAGAAGTCCTCATCTTCAACATAAAGTATAAATTTTACAAAATACCACACTCAAATCAAAGCAAACAAAGAAGCAAAGGTACTTGCCAAAGCAACATTATTACACTAGTATCAGATTTCTCATTTGTAACACTAGACGTGGGGAGGCAGACATAAAATTTCACACATCCAAGAATCCTGTATCCATCCCAGAGAGCATTTACCTGTCTTCTGGTGAAAGAAGGAAAGTTGCTGATATCTAAGGATCTAAAGAACACATGACCTGCATACTTCCCAATTAGCAAGGAGGAAAAGAAACAAAGAACAACTTGTTCTAAATAGCAAAGATGAGGGAAAAGAGTTGAAAACTGTAACTTTTGGGCATAAAATTACTTGGATTAAAAAAATGTAAAGAATACCGGTCATTACGCCAGACATGACTGGCTAATTGTTCCCATTAAGAGACACTTTTCATTTGAGGTTAAAAAGGATGTAAGAATGATACTTATATTTTTCATTCATTTAAAATGTAAAAACCATTACTAGCTTATAGTCCATACAAAAACAGCTGTGGGATTTGGCTGTGGGCCACTGTATTGCTTATAATAGCAAAAATGAGAATAATCCAAATATTCATTAACGACAGAAAAGGGTAAAATGAAGGAGCCTCAGTTCCATGCAGCAGTGTGTATGATTCTTACAAACATGAAATTGAAGGGGGATAAAAAGCAAATCACAGAAGAAGCCATTCAGTATAATTCCATTTATTTAAATTTCAAAGCCAGGAAAAATTCAATGGCATATCGTTTAAAGATACACAAATAAGTGGTTTTAATAAGTGGTTTTAAAAATGGAGGTCATGATTGGCACGATATTTAGGATAGTGGTTACCGAGGGGAGAGTTATGATATCAGGGAGAGGTGCAGAGTGAGCTTTTCAGGTATTGGTAGTGTTCTGTATCTTTGCTAGCATGTGGATATTCATTTTATTTTTAAACACAGTGTTTTGTAAATAAATGTTTTCATGAACTCTTTTGTGTTTTTCACAAAAAAAAAGTTAAAACTAGAAAAATTAAGCTAGAAAAGAGCCAAGTGAAGTAGAATTATTTGTAATCTTTTGAGAAACCTCCATCCTGTTTCCCCAAAGTGGCTGCACCATTTTGCATTCACAGCAACAGTGCACAAGAGTTCCCCTTATTCTGCATCCTTGCCAACACTTGTTATCTCTTGTTTTTTGGATGGTAGCCATTCTAACATGCTGACTCTAATAAGGTGATTTCTCACTGTGGTTTTGATTTGCATTTCTCTGATGGTGAGTGATGTTGAATATCTTTTCATGTCTTCTTTGGAAAAATGTCTATTCACTTCCTCTGCCTATCAAATCACATTTGGCTTTTTGCTGTTGAGTTGCATGAGTTCTTTATATATTTTGGATATTAACCCCTTATCAAATATTTTCTCCCAGTTTCTAGGCTGTTTTTTCATTCTGTTAATGGTTTCCTTTGCTGTGCAGAAGTTTTTTAGTTTAATGTAATCCCACTTGTTTATTTTTGCTTTTGGTGTGAAATCCAAAAAGTCATTGCCAAGACTGATGTCAAGGGACTTACCTGCTGTTTTATTCTAGGAGTTTTATGGTTTCAAGTCTTAAATGTAAGTTTTTTTAATCCATTTTGAGTTGATTTTTATGTATGGTGTAAGATAGGGGTCCAGTTTTGTTCTTTCTTTTTTTTTTTAATGTGTCTGTCTAGTTTTACCAGCACCATTTATTGAAGTGGCCACCCTTTCCCTATGGTATATTCTTGGCTTCTTTGTCATAAATTAATTGACCAAATATGATAAGTTTATTTTAGAGCTCTCTATTCTATTCCACTGATCTGTGTGTCTGTTTTTATGGCAGTACCATACTGTTTTGTAATACAGTTTAAAACCAGGAAGTGTTATGCTTCTAGCTTTGTTCGTTCTCAAGTTTGCTTTAGCTATTTGGAGTTTTTTTGTGGTGCCATACAAATTTTAGGATTCTTTGTTCTATCTCTGTGAAAAATGTCATTGCATTTTGATAGAGATTAAATTGAATTGATAGATTGCTTTGGGTCATATGGACATTTTAATAATATTAATTCTTTGAATCCTTGAGTATGGACAATCTTTCCACTTATTTGTGTCTTCAGTTTCCTTCATCAGTGTCTTACAGCTTTCAGAATTTCAGATCTTTCACCTCCTTGGTTAAGTTAATTCCTAGGTATTTTACTCTTTTTTGATGGAACTGTGAATGGAACTCTTTTTTTTTAAGATTTATTTATTTATTTTTAGAGAGAGAGGGAGAGCACATGGAGAAATAAGGGCAGAGGGACAAGGGGAGAGAGAATCTTAAACAGGCTTTGCACCCAACACAGAGCCTAATGCGGGGCTTGATCTTCGGACTCTGAGCCGAAATCAACAGTCAGATGCTTAACCGACTGAGCCACCCAGGCTTTCTTAATTGCTCTTTCTGATAGTTTGTTGTTAGTGTATAGAGACCTAAATATGATACGAACTATAGATTATAATACCAACAGGGATTTTTTACTTTCAAATTGAGGAAACACTTAAAAAAATAAATAAATTGAGGAAACACTAGAAATATTTCAGTTAAAACCAGGTATCTGATTTGGAATGCTCTTTAAATGAAATAGTATAAACAGTAGGAAACAAAAGATGAAAAGTAACCTTTTGATGATTTTTATTGTAGGATATGTATTATAATTATATATATGAAAGCTATAATGAGAGGCCAAACTGATTCTAATTTTAAAATACTAGAATTGATAAGATTATATATGTAAGAGGAGGTCAGGTGTCACATACATGAAAGAAAATTAGTCGTTTTTTTCTCTATATTTACGTTAAGCACATAAATGTGAAAATGGGAACATTTCATTTACAATAGCACAAAAACAACAAAATACTTATTAATCACTAAGAAAAACAGTATTTATCTGTTGAAAATCCATCTTTGACAGATAGAAGATGTAAACAAATAGAAGGATATACCATATTCTTGGATGAAAAGACTCAGTATGGAAAAGTCCCTTCTATTCTTCATCTCTAATACCTACAAATTAATATATAAAATTAATGGAGTTCAAATAGAACTGCCATCAGGGTTGAATTGGGAGAGAGGATTGCATAATGTAATACTAAATTTTATATGGAAAAATACAGACCTAAGGGAAGTATGAAAAAGAATGTGAAAGGTCTTAATTTCTTAAATATCTGAATTTAATGTAAAGCCTCTATAATCAGAACAAATTGTATTCATATAGCAATTGATCAGTGGAACAAGGTAGAAAATCCAGAGAAAGATGTTAGTATGCATGAGAATTCGATATACGACGTGTATGATATTCTAATTTAGGGTAATAGGGTGCTTTACAAAGTGTTCTGGCATAACTGGGCATCTGTGTGGAAGAATATAAAGTTAGGCACCTTCATTTGCATTATATCATATAAAAAACAACTCTACCTGGATTAGATAATTAAATATTAAAAATAAAGTAATAAAGGTATTTGACAAAAATCTTACAAGACCACATAAATCCTGTAGGCATGTTGGAGGCGGGGCTTAACCAAAGTGGAAAAGCAGAAGTTAAAAAAGAAAAGAGGGTCCAATCAATCAGTCCAAAATTTTAAGCTTTTAAAGGCAATATTGTCAAACAAAGACAATAGATAAATAATAAATTGAGGGGGCATCTTCATTATAAATGACATGGAGTTAATATGTATAATATGCTAAGAACCTTAAAAAGAGAAAAGAGACAGGGAAAACTCAGTAGAAAAAATTGGCAATTTACCAAAGAGGACACATGAATACAAGCTCAAATCTCACTAGCAATAAGGGGAATGCTAAGCCAACATGAGCTTCTTTTCTTAAGAGAAAAGATAAGCTCTGAGCACCAGAGTGTGGTGACAGCATCTTTCATGGTAACTCAGCCTCACAGTGTTTTCCACTGTTTCCCGGCTGCTTTGCCTACTTAGTGCTTTTTCTGTCCCTAGGAGGGGCTAGACAGAGGAAGACCAGGGGGCTGCTGGGTACTTGACAGTCACAGGAATCAGTGGCCTTCAAGGATATGGCTCTGGAATTCACCCATTGTTGACACATCTCGCAGAGATGCAATCAGTCAATTGGTTTCTGTGTGTTGATTGTATTCTTCCTTCAATTGTCTTTCAGTTATCATCTTGTCTTGCAGGCAGTCTGCACTGGAATTGAGGATGGCTCAAGCTATTATCGCTTTTCCTACAATTGGGTTTTCAGCTCTGCAAATCTGAGTAATTTTCCAGTGAGAGCAACAGGGTTGCTAAGGCAGGAAGAAAGATAATTTTACTAAAGCCTGAGTCCAGGCAGGGAAAATGCACTTAAAAACGAAGACATATGATTTTCATGCAGGATATTTGCAGGAAGCAACTACTTAATGGCATGGTGGTACAAAGAATCCACATTTGAAAGGAGCTCTTTGAGTGTACTGAGTAAGGGAAAGTTTCCCTTACAGCCCAACATTGGCTTGACACGTGGTAATTCATAATGAAGAGAAACTCCTGTAAATAAGATGAATGTGAACAAGAATTCAGCTAAATGCTTAATACATACCAGATTTCATGTAAGAGAGAGAAGTCCTGTGGCATTATTTAATGTGGACGATTCTACAGTGATCATCTCTTAAATGACACAAGAGCAAACACTCTGGGAGAAACACTTACATGTATGTAAACATTGGGAAGGCTTTGGGTCATCATTCATCCTTTCACCAACACGAATAGATTCCCACACCAGGAAACTCTAGGAATATGATGAATGTGGGCAGAAGTTCAGCTATATAGCTAACCTTCTATACACATAGGACAATTCCTGTGGGAGAGAAGAAACTTTGTACATGTGACCAGTGAGGAAGAGCCTTTAGCACAGATCTAACTTTTCTTTTCCCAAGAAAACTCATTCTGGGGAGACACCCTAAATGTTGGAAAATTTTTAACCAGAGAAAGCCTCTGGATGAACTTGAGTATCTATACCAGAGAAACAATGAGAATGAAATAAATATGGGAAATCACATGTGTGCGAACATTCTAAATACAAGGAATGAAAGAACTTCTCCATTGATGACTCGTACAGTAGTCACCATTAAAGTTCTCATGCTGGAGAGGTGCCTATGCCTAAAATCAATGCGGAAGTACCCTCATCTGGGGATCACATTGAACAGTTCTTCCGGGGAGAACACTCTACGAAGCTCTCTTTAGCACACAACTGAGTAAACAAATCACACTTTTTTCGAATGACATGTTTTTAAACATATGTAGAATACAGATGTAGGATTATAAATTGTACTTAGAAACACTTAAAGCAGAAGTCGGTGACAAGTAGTAATAATCAATGAGATGAACCCTATTCAAGAGATTACTGATTAAGAATACTTAGTGTATTAAATGTTATTGCTAAAACGTCTTAAAAGCATCAAGCATTCTGCTGACTAGATGAGCCAGTTTTCCTTTAGACAGCCCTTCACTGCTGATCAGCGAGTGTCTTGTTTTTTATGCAGCTCATACAACATGGTTCCAAAGACTCTGAGGCTATCAGAAAATAACTTTCAGTGTTGACCAAAAAATGTGGAATCTGAAATAGTGTATCTTTTATTTCATTGATGTTAAAATACATATGTTCATGGAAATATGGATAAACACATTATTGTAAATGAATTTAAAAGTGTATTTGTCAGTGTTGTTCATCGGGTGAGGAACATGGACACAAAAATGAATGCCTGTCAGTAGAGAAGTGATTGGATAAGTTATGATACCATCTCACCATGCAATATTATGCAATCATTAGAAGTGATTTAGGGCTATGTAAGTTGATATCCATGAGGTATCATTGAATTAGGAAAGTAAGCCGCAGAGAGAACTAGGTTTAATGCGATCTTATTTGTATAAAGCAAATAGGAAGGAAAAATGAGCCATTGTATATACACACATATACATATACGTATGTATATTTATATTTATGCATATATACATATATATTGTAGCTGTTGCTACTTTTATATGCTTATATAGTAGGACTGAAGAAAGTACTGAAAGACACATGCCACCTTATTAAACATGAATGGGGATATGAACCAAAAAAGCAAAGACCACATAAATGAAGGGGAAATTTTAGATACATTATGATCACATTCATTTAAAATAATATATATGTGTTTTGGCATGTATGCTTTTGTGTTTAAAATATATTATTTAGAGAGGCTGTGTTTTAAGGAAGATTGATTTACCCCATGATCAAATTATTATTTTTTTCTTGGGGTCACAAATAAATAGCCAACTGCAGTAATAAAATGAAATTAAACTCTCAAGCCTTTTGAGGGGATCTTATTTAACATCTTTACTCCCCAGCATAGAAAAAAATATTCTGCCAAGATAAGCCTGTCATATAGTCCATAAAGAACAAAACTAAAAGCAAAAAAGAGGTCTCACCAGCTAATTGTGGGCTTGTGTAAAACTTATGGTTGTTGCATTGTTTTTCCCTTTTTCATAGATGAGGAAGGACTTGGTATAAGCATTATTGGAATGGGTGTTGGAGCAGATGCCGGACTTGAAAAGCTGGGAATATTTGTCAAGACAGTAACAGAAGGTGGTGCTGCTCAGAGGGATGGCAGGTAAGCTAACCACTGTCATTAATAACTAAAATGCTAACTACTGTCGTTAATAACTAAAATCTTCTAGAAACTTTATTGGGAGTTTCTTTCAATGGTAGCTTTCTTCTTTTGATTTTTTTAGGACAGAATTTCGAAGTGTGTCTCAGATATGGAAAAGGTTAAAACACTTGAATTACTTTCTGATTTGCAGGTAAAACGCCTGCTTTCTTTAATGTATATTAGGTAAATGGGGGGTTGGACCTACTATCTCTATCTGTCTACCTTTGGTACCTATCCCTTCATCTCTCTGTGTAGTGGGAAAGGGGCAGAAACATGGGTGTCTGTTGTTTCAAAATACGTCCTGTGGAGATCAGCATATAGTTTCACTTCAGAAATATCGAAACAAATGGTAATATTTCTGGCACTTTTGAGAATGACCAAGGTAGAAGGGAAAATAGGAACCCTAACTCTGCAATGATGATAATTCTGGAAATCATGTTTCTCAAAATGTATCCTATCTAAAAACACAAGTTCTTGAGTGCCAACTAAACCTGTGGAATTAAATCTCTCAGAGAGGACTCCGACAGTCTTTACTTAAGCATCCACCTTGGGTAATCTGGAGGCACACCAGCACATCAGATGGTTGTTGTTTTATGTCTTAGCTTTCATCATCTCAGGCTGCAAGTATCTTTAAAGATTTTTAATGAATCCTCACTCTTCGTTCCTCCTGCATCAGGTTGGGGCTGAAGCAGAGGTTGGCAATAGAAATAAAAGTAGGTCCAAAAATATGAGTGCCAAATTCAAAGAAATGTCATCTTATTTTTTTTCAGGAGCACAGAGTAACTAGCTTTGATTGTTTTTCAAGGTTTCAGTATATATCACTTAACCATCTTGATATCACTTAACCAACATGGTAAAGCATATTGAAAATCATTTGTAAACCTCTGGTGGAACACATAAGTAGCATTATTTCTTTTGTAATCCTAAATACACATATTGATATACACAGATATATTCCAAGGGGAACTAAATTTATTTAAATAGAATGCCACGCCAGGATCATCTCTTTCCATGAAGCTAGGGACCACATCTCAATCAGTAGCCTTATTTGTATTCCTGTGGACTTGAACAGAGAAGGTCTGAAATGAATCTTTTGAGTGAATGTTCAGTTGATTGAATGTGTATCACACTTAAAACAAAGTAGGATATTAATATTTTGTGTTAAAATACAATTTGTTAACAGTCTTCCCCATTTTCAAGTATTTACGGAAATAACCTCTTTACCCTTTCAGTGAATTATATAATGGTAGTAGCAAAAACTTCTGATTATTGATTTAGAAACCTTCTTCCAAGTGAGCTAAAATTTGTTTGTAAAATCTGTGTCATTTCTCTTTAAGTTTCAAGGAAAATTTAAAAACTATTCCAAAATGATAGGAAATACTTCTTATTGTTAGTATTCAAACAGCATGAAATTATTACGAACTATCTCTCTTAAGTGGGCCACAAAACCAAACCAAAATACAAATTGATTAAAAAACAAAAAGGTAGAAAATTTTGCATTCAGCTCTTAGCCAATTCCCATTGTTCTAAACTCAGACCGATTTGTTTTTCCATCACTCACTTTTAAAATTAGGTTTGTTTTTCATTAACCTATTTCCTTATTTGTTGTCCTACATAGGTTCAGTATTCCCACCAGTAGGAGATCAGTCTCTATCTATCAGTCTCAGTGTGCATTTCCTCAGTCTTTTTAAATGGATATTTATCTAGTATAGTAATCCTGCTCTTGTTACAATAGATGCTTAATAAATGTCTCAGTGAGTATATTAAGGAAGGCAATTTGATGAAATGAAGAGAATCTTTGGGAACATGTGACCAGGAGCCTAATTCTGTCCCCTCTACTTACCAGCTGTGGGATATTGAACAAATTAACTTAATTTTCATGTTATCTACATTGCAGGGTTGCTGTAAGCATTCAATATGCTTATGTAAATTAAAACCTTCCACAGCACTGTGTATGAAACAAAACTGTTCTTGAATGAAGTAGGAATAAGCTTTCTTTTTAAATGTATTTAAAAATAGTTATTATGGGAAGTCTTAAGAAAAACTACAGAAAGATGTATAAAATATGTACAGAATCATAAAATTTTAGAGGTTCAGAGGAACTTTAGAGATCTTTAAATTCATACTTTTTGTTTTATATGTGTGTAAAAATTGAGGATATATATGTGTATGTATAGTCTCATTATTAGACCTATGGCAGTGTTCACATCTTTTAAAGTATTATATTATTATTCCCACCATTACTGTTGTGCTCATTTGCACAATTTTAAATGTTTGTTGTTTAAAATTTATCAGTATAAAAAGATTACAAAAAGAACAGTTGATTGCTTCCTCCAGTTAATAATTTTTTTAAAAAGTTACGTCTACTTATGGATATAGAAAAATACTGTGTTAAGGATTTACAAAGCGCTATGGTCAGTATGATGCCAGTCTTCTGTGAATATGTTTTCTATTTGTTCATCCCTCCCCCCAACCTCTCTTTCTCTTTCTTTTTCTTTCTCTCAAAAAATGTAGAATTAATACACACCAAAATATTGAATGGCTCTTTTCCATGTGGGCTTTTAAAAATTCCAGTTAATGTGGAATATTTAATTTTTCTACAGAGAATTTATACTTGTATATATATTTTTTAAACTACAACTAAAAATAATAAAGTTATCATGTGACCTCAGGAAAGTTGCTCTTCAGACCTCAGTTATGGACAAAATTAAAGTTCTGGATTAGGTGTTCTTTATAATTCCTTTTAGCTTTAAAAGGATAAAAGTTTTGGGGCGCCTGGGTGGCTCACTCATTGGGCATCTGCCTTTGGCTCAGGTCATGATCTCAGGGTCCTGGGATCAAGCCCCACATCGGGCTCCCTGCTCAGCGGGGAGCCTGCTTCTCCCTCTCCCACCCCCCCTGCTTGTGTTCCCTCTCTTGCTGTCTCTCTCTGTCAAATAAATAAATAAAATCTTTAAAAAAAAATAACTTCTCTCATAAAAAAAAATCTTTAAAAAAATAAAAATAAAAGGATAAAAGTTTTTTTTAACCCTTCTACTAGCTTGCTTTAGTTTCTTTCTCTTTTTTTTTTTTTTTTTAGAGACAGAGAGAGAATGTGTGTGTGCGCGCGCGTGAGTAGGGGAGGGGCAGAGGGAGAGGGAGAGAGAAACTTAAACAGACTCTGTGATGAGCCTGGAGCCAGACGCAGAGCCTGATGCTGGGCTCCATCCCATGACCCTGAAATCATGACCTGAGCTGAAATTAAGAGTCTGTCCTTAACTGACTGAGCCACCCAGGCGCCCCTTGCTTTAGTTTTTCAACTCTATTTAAGAAAATGATTTCAGTTTAATCTCAGATTAGTCATATTACCTTCAAGGGATGTTAAATAAACAGACTTATAGACTTACCCAGGACATTCTTTTCTCCCTCCTCCCCACTTACTGCCCCCACATATTTGTTGTGATTGCTTTTACCCCTTCTAAACATCTCATAAACTCACCATATTTTGAGCTCTTTTAAAAATTTGCCATGGACATTTATCTCCTGTGTCATTCAGAGTGTAGTTAAAAAGTTTTGAGTCTTCCTTCCTTTTTGGTGTTATGTTCTACACTGAAATTTTCTTTTGTCAAGCTTTTCATGTCTGTCTGTACCTTTTTATATGATGCCTGAAATGTAGGGGTTCTCAATAAATATTTGTTGAATGAATGAATACTTGTGCTTTAATCACTTTCAAAACATTTACTTAGGCCTAACGTTTTTCTCCCCCCTCCCCTCCCCCTCCCTTCTTTTTCTTTTCTCTCCCTTTCTCTTTTTTGTGGTATCCTAACACTTAATAATCACTTGCAATTGAGCTAAGTGACATGAGTTGATAGCCATTTCCACCATCTGTTTTAGTTTTAAGTTTTTAGTAAAATAATAACTACAAATGATATTAAATAAGATTAATTTTAGTAAAATAAAATATTAATTTTATTAAATACATTTTTATGTATTAAATATTATTTTATTAAAATTTAAATATTTAGCAAAAATAGTATTAATAATAAAACCATTAGCTTTGCTCGCCATACATTTTACAATTGATACACAGGACACTAATTATTTCTCCAGTTCTCTTTCATGAATCTATAAAGCAAAATCAACTTTATGATAACACAATTGAAAATGCTGATAGTGGAATAAGTCCTGTGGGTGGTAACTGACAAATGATAGTAATGACACTGTGCTAAAGAGGCAAATTAAAAATGCATCTGGGATCTGCTTTGTTTCTGGCTCCTATGTTTATTTCTTAGACGTTTGCATGTCATCATTTGAGAACACTATCCTGTTTGTTTTTTTCTGAAAAAAGTTACCAAATATGAAACAAGGGTGCTATGTAGTTGACCTTCATTCAAGCCTCTCAAGGTTTTCAACTGATTTTAATTGTTTTTGACCAGCTTTTGGGTAGGAAGCAACACATAAAACAGATGAAGAGTTTTATTCTTCGCTTTCCCTGCAGCAGACGCTCCCTGGGGCAGGACCCATCTGTGCCCCTGGGGCGCCCTCCTGCCCGGGACAACCTGAATGGAAACTGCTGTTTTAATTGTGTCCATCTGTCATGATTCCGTAGTCGAGGGTTTCCTCTCGGTGCACACACTCCTGCGTCACTCTCCTCGTCAAGTATTTTGCTTGTTCACCCCTTAGAGAGTTGGGATATTACTGCTTTGATATGGACATATTTTCATATACATTTAAAACTCCACTATCTGGCATTTCGGGGAAAATTGTGTTGACCCGAGTTTATTAATGTTGCTCCAGCTGGTCTCCCTCTCATTCAGCCTCAGTTGCTTTGTTTACATAGGCCCTGTGAGGTAGAATTTTTGTTTTTGTTTCCCCTTCCCAGATGCATCATTGTCGGTAGATAACTATCCAGTAACGTTAAACAAACCCTAGAATCGTCCAGCATATATATATTTTTGTTAGCTTACCCCCATCGGTTCTGG